TGAAAGGGGGGAGATTTTTTTATTTTTTTGTGCGAATGGGGGAGAGATATGATGCATTGTGATAAGCTAAATTAAGAGAAGAAACGGCCGAATTTATTCCGTGACCAAAAAAATGGCAGGTCAATGATTCCTCCTTAAACTAAATGGAAGAACGGCACGTATTGTGTTGGTTCCACTTATGAAACCAAAAAAAAAGGGTCAATGTGTGGTTGTTGCTTGCAGGCTAGCTCGCGGACGGCAACCTTAGCGTGTTTCAACAAATTAAGATACCCGATACCAATAGCAGGCCGATATTCTTTAGTTGAGGCTACCGGCGGTTCGTCCAAGGTGCTGTTACTAGCATCAGGTCTATACAAATCATGCTAACCTTAGAACTTTACGCGAGACTGTTTCTTCACTTCTCTTTACATTTTCAGTATTCCATCGACAACCGTGCTTTAGCAGCTTTCAGTTGGTGCTACATAGTACTGTTCGGTAACCTGTTAAGTAAGGTGAATTCATCAGCAAGAAACGGGTGGAGAAGTTTTCTACTACTCCCTCCGTTCAGAAATACTTGTTCTAGAAATGGTTGTATCTAGACTGATACAATCATCTGTAGGACAAGTATTTCCGAACGGAGGAAGTAGGCCGGATGATCGAACACAATGTCTAGAAATAGAAAAAAAAATAGGAGACTCGTCGAAGGAAATTGTCAATGCTCGGGCGAATCATCCACCACCTATAATGTGATTGGACATGCACTACTAACATATTCAAGTTGTAAGGGCATTTCTAATACAGACCCTCAATTTCCCCCTATTTGTCCGGTGGACACTTTTGGCGATCCAATGTCATCCCTCAATTGTCATCCCTCAATTGTCTGTGGACACGTCCGAACTCCAAAATCACTCAATCTAGCACCAAATAAAAGAAAGAGTAGGGTAGTCCGGATGTGTCCATGGACACCGCCAACTTAGCATAGGACCCACCCCTCAAAAAAAACTTAGCATAGGACCCCACCACAAACCCCTTTTTCCCTCTCTCCTCTTTCCATTAGATAAGGAGCGGACAAGTAGGAGATTGTTGGATGGTAGTCTTGGATTGCTGACATCCGCTCAGCTGTCCAGGGAAAATCAAGATGTCCATTTGAGGTTTACTCTTGAGATGCCCCAATTATACGGAGGCTACTTTTCAAGTTGTTGGCTAACTTGATCATTTGAGTCGCCTGCAAAAAGAAAAAACCTAACCATTTAAGGCCGTTTTGGATATCATTCTTCTTGAGTGTGTTGCAAAGACTTTGAGTTAATTTGGGCTTGATGTGGTCTTTTAGTGGGCTTGGGAGCTCTTTTATTGGGATTGGGCTGCTTGAGCCACATAGATTTGGATATGATCACACAAATATCTTGTAGATGCAAAAAAAAGGGAGCTCCTAGTCAGCTCTTTAAGCGCCGTCTAGGCAGCTGGCGCTCGCGTGCATTCCGGCGGGCCGCGGCCCAGTACTGCGTCACCTCGCCAGACCGCTTCGCCGGCTCGCAGGTCTGCCCGTTAGTTTTTTTCCTTTTCTTTCTCTAAAAAAGCTAGATTTTTTATTCAGTTGGTCTCCTAGGAAAAAAACTGCAGGTTTAATTTTGAAAAAAAACATGAAATTTAAAATGTTTACTGATTTCAAAAAATAGTTCACCAATTTTGAAAAAAGTTCATCAATTTTGGAAATAAGCTCATCAAATTTGAAAAAAGTTCATTGATATGAAAAAATAGTTCACAAATTTGAAAATGGTCCATCAATTTTGGAAATAATTTCATCAAATTTGAAAAAAAATCATCAAATTTGAAAAAAAATCATCAAATTTGTAAAAAAAAGGCATCGATTTTGAAAAAAAATCATCAATTTTGAAAAAAGTTCATAGATTTTGGAAAAAAATCATTCAAATTTGAAAAAAAAAGTTTATTCAATGAAAAAATATCATCAAATTTGTAAAATGTTCATTGATTTTGAAAAAGATGCTCACGAATATGGAACAAGGTTCACGAATTTGAATGAAGTTCATGGATTTTGGGGAAAAAGAGGTTCATCAATTTTGAAGAAGAAGTCATGGATTTTAAAAGAATTCGAGCATTTAAGAAAAATCAAGAAAAATAAAAACGTTCAGAAAAAGCCGCAAACTGAACAAAGAAATAAAAGGAAAGAAAAAACTGGTGGAATAGCCGAGTGGTTACTATGCTTACCTTTTTTTGCGAGGGGAAGGAGAATTCATTAATCAAGCGGCAGCCAAGTCTGCAATACATAGGTCAGGTACCTCCTCATGTCCTGAGCGAAGCCACACCGCAGTGCACTTCTTTATTCTACCATAGTTCGCTAGGTAATGACTAACAATGTTTTGCTCTCGCTTAATATGCTTGACTAAGAATTCCCTGTTCTCCTGAAGAAGTTGCTTAATTTCTTGCACCATCATCACGTGTGCCGATCTATCCTCTCCCGTTTCAGTGATTAGCTTGACGACTTCGGAGCAGTCAGTTTGAATAACAATGGGCAGGGCTGACCACTGAATGGCAAGAGAAATGCCTTCCTAGCATGCATGTAGTTCAGACTCCAATGAAGACGCACACCGGCACAGTTCGCGGCAAGACGAGTAGATGATCGCTCCCCTATCATCCCGAAGGACCATCCCAGCCCCCGTTGTATCATCTTTCTCTGAAAATGAGCCATCAATACTTAACGCCGCCCGCCGGCGGCGCGTCCAATCCCTGCCTTTTCTTTACTACCTCGCCCGCATGTGATAATGCACGCCTCTTGTACTGAGGTACAGTCACCATCTTGCCTTTAACATGGTCACCATTGGGATTGGTCTGCAAAGCAAGTAAGGAGCATATGTAGCTGGAGAGAAACCGGGTCGATGCCTCCACTGGTGGCGGCCGTTTGTGATGGACGATCTCATTTCTCACGTGCCAGCATCGCCAAATGGTCATGAGCGTGTACAAACGCTTCTCCTCCGACAACTCCGCTAGCACTTGAAGCAACCACTCTCGCCCTGTATTCATCAGTCGTCGGACGTCCGGAATATTCCATTGCTGCGCCATTGCCTGCCACAGCGCGACTGCTCGAGGGCATCTGCAAAGAGCATGAAATGTGTCCTCCGGTTCGGTGGCACACACAGGGCAAAGATTAGAAACTTCAAGTGTACGATGCTGCTTATTAACCCATGTAGGTAAGCAGTCAGTAGCCACCCGGCACGCGAACACACTTGGATTACTATGCTTACCTTCGAACGCACTTGTTGCTGGTTCAAATCCAGTAGCTTGCAACCTTTTTGGGGGGTTTACAGAATTAGTATATGGGCCAGCTCAGGTAAGAGCGCCTTCAGGGCCAGTTAACAAAACGTACATTAAGGCGCCGAATAGGAATTGCCAAAGAAAACTACAAATATCTTGTGGCGAGGAGCTGCATATGGAGAAGCTCAATGTCACATTTGACTAAGAGTCATTACGGAGCTGCATGCTGAAGTTTTAGGGATGATCCAAACAACAGCCGAATCTCACGAGCAAGCCAATTTTTTGGTGTGGTCGTCGCTGGCTGTAAACCAAACACACCCTTCTTACCACTTCATTCGTCATAAAACGGGGGCGATGACCATTGTCGAATGCATGATCTAGCATAGTGTCCTTAGTGCCGAAGGTACTAGATGTACTAGATGAAATAGGGTTATCTTGTGCCAAATAATGCATCGTATCAAAAGCTTTTTAACTAAAACGAATTGAAGGGATAGATAGAGCTTACTTCTCTCGTTTCGGAGCCATCTCGATCCGTAAAAACGATGGAGAAATGAAGTAGATCGGAGAAGGGGAGTGGAGGGGATGAGAGAGGGAAGTCCTCTCTATTCTTGCGGCCACGTAGGGGAGAAGATGGAGGCTGGTTCGTGGATGGGCCCCACAACCCGGCCCTCACGGGATTAAAACTGCTGAGCACCTACCGCCGGGGTCTCGAGCGGTAGGGTTGTACATGCTACCGCCAAGGTCCCCGAGATGGCTGCCGTTTACTGCAGCTAACATGGATGAATGGGTTGCTTGTACAACCCTACCGCCAGCCTCTGGGGTCATATCAGGCTGAATTGGCCACGATAGGCAGGCAATGACCCGGAGAGGAGGTGATTCTGGGACACTTTTTGCAGAATAATTACATTGGAACGACATCGCCATGTAATTGGTGCACAACGTTGGAACGATTTAGAGCGTTAGATCAGGAGATCCACCCAGTACATAATTGAGGACCAGGCCAATAATAACTCACTACAGCGCACCCTACACTAAGCAAAATTTCCTTCATTTCTGTTTACTCAGTCAGTTTCACATGCCCGTCTTTGATCCGTTTACAGTTTTTTTTCATATTTCTGGTATCGTTCCGCCACATGTCGATTGACATATGGACGCATTTAAAGGTACAAGTTTCCTTGTTGCAAGGAAGTCATCTTCGGCATCCATGGATTTCCCAGCTTTGCTAGTTGAACAGTTCTTCGC